ACACCACAGCTCCCTTGGGAGAGTGACGGGTCACTCTCATGTGACCCCGTTACATCTAGGATGATGATGCAATAAGCGTCTGTTGTACCTAGCTACACGGCAGAAAAGTAACAAAGATAGTCTACATATCATAAATTCATGTTATATGTACTTTTAAGATAGCAGAGCAGCCAGGACGACAAGGTACGGTAGGGTCCATTGGTACCGCTAACTTCTGTGCACTGTTCACGAACTTTTGCAGTCAAACCACTCTAGCAACCCCCATTGCTTTTGGTAACACTGATAGTCAATACATTAGTTGGGCTGCATCCCGTCCCAGGATAAGACATGATACCTGTTCCAGAAGCAAGTAGAATATCCCAGGAAACGTATGTCTATCGATGAAATCCTTATCGCCCATTAGCGATAAGGATTCGCAAAAATAGATCGGGCCGGAGTGGAAACAATGGTGCCACCATGAGACCGTTAACATGTAACGTCCACGCTTCTGGAATCTTGGTCGGACAAAATCTCGTTCTCTCAAAGGAGGGGGTAAGTTAATATGCAATTGATTCAACCATGCTCTAATTGGAGCGACCGCTCTCGAGACTCCAATCTAGGAGGTTGCGCGCGAGAATAGGCACTTACTTGAAATCTTTTGGTCAAAATGGTGTTTCCGACGTGCAAAAAATAAAGCAACACATAGCGTGGGTTCACACCGGTCAACAAGGCGGTCTGGGCACGTTTAAAACTCCTGTCCACCCGGAAGTTGCAATCTGAGACAGCCCCAAGAGCGGCTCACGCTTGCACTTGAGAAGAAAAGTCAATGGCAATGCAATAAAAGTGTAAGTGATTTGATAAGAGATTATAGTTTCCAAAGTCGCATGAATAGCAAATTTAGCGCCCTTAAAGATTTTACGTATAAAACTACACATGCAGAAGTAAATCCTACAAAATTGACAGATAGAAACTTGGGTGCACCGAATGAGGAATGCTGAAAAAAATTAAATTTTTGAATACCCGGCATTTGAAGTGAATACCACGAGCCGCTTATTTATATGGTCAGAACGCGTCGGTCTCATCACCAAAGTAGTATTCCAACTTGTAACCATCTTCTGTAACGATAAAGATGTACAACATTCGTGACATCATCTACTCGTGTCATATGTGCATCTGGGATCTATCGTACTACTTATGGCTAATTACATCATCTCTTTGTTATACTTAGAAGAACCTCACGTACTTTTGCAGACCGTTCGAAGTAGTTCATTTTGCATTTGACAGCGAAGCGACCAAACGCAAAGTGAAGCATTACGAACAGCCAAAGTAGTGGCGGCACTAGACAGCCCCCGGCTTGTACGACATTTCCGACTTTTGCAAGTATCCCAAGGACGTCAGTTCTACAACAAAAATTATTTTCTTTGGGCGCCACAAAACAAATGCCCGTTAACGATGATCCTGGCCAACTCATTAGAGCAAAGCTCGAGCCGTGGACGACATTGAGAATAAACCTCGTGCTGAACTTTAGATAGGAAACCTAGTAGGCACACTCAAGCGAGACCGCAAAGAGCCTGGCTCTAGTCGTGCTAGTGCTTTGATCAGCACATCAAGGTTTGTATTTAGCTGCGAATCACGTTAGGAGCATCTGACCGAAGAGTCTCTCTTGATTCTCGCGTGTCAAAGCTCGACAGATTGCGAAGCCACCGTAGATCCGCGTAACCAACTATTGAATCGACGATCCAACGACGTTCTTACTGATGATCGATCAGCGGGAGTGAGATGAGCGCGAAAACGATTGAGGGAAGTGGAAGAGCGCTCACTGTGCTCAGGACGAGGCACTTGAAGTTCGGGCGTGAAAACCAGATGAAGAAACATGGGTCAAAAATCAGTTTGATATTTGTAACTTAGGATTCAAGAAGGTTCAAGCGAAGCTTGAGCGATTCCGGAAGGGCGAGAAAGCACATTATCCGTGAATTGAACGTCAAATGCGCTTTGTCAAAGAGGTTTGTTAGCTCACGAGGTACTTTGTGATGAGTACCATTCTCGCCTTCAGGCACCGGTTTTGTAACGGGGTTACACGTACCTTTGTATGAAAGGGCGGGTCACACAAAATGGTCTGACTGTACACAGGTGTGGATCACACAAGTTGGTGTAATCACACCATGGTGTGGCTACACCGTAATAAGAAGCCACTACGTGGCAGGACTGCCAGTAGTAATGCAAATTAATTAGGTTTTACTCTTTAAACAGAAAAACCTAAGATTTTGGCGGCTCTGCCGCAAATGAAGCAAGTGAATACAGCTTCAATTTTGCCTTTACCTCGGTTAAGGTTTTGGGTACTAGCGGATTGCGATCCACTACACTCGAACTAGTTCTTGAACAGAACGTAAGGTCGATGACCTTACGTTAGCTTCCTCCAAGTAAAGATCTACAATAGCCCCGGTGCACTTGGTAGCACTTGTAGTCAGTCTACGTTTGAGTCGTTAGGCCTGATCCTTCGTGAGGATAAAGTAATACCCCTATTTGTCCCATGGCATGCAGGACGGGCTTGATAAGCTGATGTCCTTACTTGGCCTGGGAATGTAGAACACCTTATTTCGCAACGGCTCGAAGCGATAATTGCGCTCCTAGAGGCGTTTTCAAATTATGGAAATGCTCTGTTAAAGCAGAAGTTGTCAGCGTCGACGGCGTCCATGACGCCACCTTCGACGACGGGTGACTCCTTCAGACCCTGGCCGCTCATGGTAAGCGTTAAGACCTTCGAGGGTAAGGATAAAGAAGATCTTCTGCTCTGGGTGAGAGAGGCCGAGATAGCTATGGCATCGGTCATGTTTCAGAACGAGCAACAGCGCGTGGCGCCAGTTATCTCCAAGCTCGGGGTCCGACCAAGAGAATGGGCACTAACCTGAAGTGCTTTGGTTGAAGCGGCGTCCCTTCCTCGAAGTAG